GGCCTTAGATACGCCACAGTTTTTTGTACCTGATGGTAAGGAGTTGAAATGGTGTCGACACTCCATTCCTACCTTGAAGAAAGCACAAAACAAACCGAAGGCTAAAAATACACTGAATCCGAAAAAATCAGGTAAGTCTGATAAGAATTTGGAAAGTAATCAGCCTAAGAAGAAGGATAAACCTTCATCCTCGAAAGAATTCTCTAAAAACAATAACCAGAAGAAGAAACACCTGAATACTCAGAAGAAGGCAAAGAATTCCTCGAAGAAAAAGGGTAACAATAAAGATAACAAGGCGGTTTTAGCAGAAATTTTAACTTTATTACAGAAACTAGTTTAGCTTATGCTTTTATTAGCTGTTTTACGAATTTCAGAATTGTATTGTTTTTAGGATAGAAAATATTTATGTGTTCGCACCACAAATTTCTTGGAAAGGGGACTTGTCCTCTCCACTTTTTTTTATTTTTCCCCAGTGTATCTGCCTGGACTTTTATCGGACGGGGTAGTGGTTCAGGTCTTTTTTCTCAAGAAGTTCGGGTTGGTATTCAGCTCCTCTGTTTGTCGATAATAGACTTAGTTAGGTGGTACTATATTCTAGTCATGCCTTTGTATAATCTCTCCTGCTTCACATAAAATAAATAAATAAATTAATTAATTGTATATTTTTATCAGATTCAAAATATTTCTTAACATTTTTAAAAGCTCTTTCCCGAAGTCCTACAATAACCTTTGAAGAAAATTTTTTTTAAATACATTTAAAAGTGAATTTCTAATAAATAAAAGGTTTGGGTGTGGACTTGAGCATGCAACTTTACCCTTTACAACTGTTTAATAGGTTGGAGTTCACAATTATGGTATGGAAGGGTAAATTTAACTTTATATTCATATTGTTCTGCAATGTTAACACAAGAAAATGGAACCTTTTCTTTGTTTATTTGAACCAGCTTCAAAAGTTCTGATTTTCTTAATTCATCAGAAAAAGCAATATCATGAGAATTTAACCATTCAATTGTAATTTAGGATATTTAAGCATTTTGTGTTGTGTAAAAGTATCATCTTTATGGCTTTTCCAGTTTGAAACCACCCTCCCAACTGTACTTTCCCCTATGCCCAAACACCTCAGCAACACGCTTGCGTAATGTGACCTGATGATGATCCTCCTTTTTAAAGTTAGCCCCCAAAAAATAATTGTAAACATTAATTATCATCAACTTTTCGTTATCAGTTAGTGATGCATTGCTTCATTTTGTAGAGAAACTATCCATAGTAGGGTAAAAAAATATTAGTAAAAATGTTTATTCAAAGTCATTGTAATATATATATTTTTTTCAGCCCATTTTGTTTTAGTCATACGGTATTTTTCTTAGTGTAAAATTTTTTCCTTTTCGGGTGAGGTACCAATCTTTTTACACCGGCCCATATCTTTAATATAATGGCCTTTAATTAAGGTTGCTGGAGAAACTAGGGGGTTTTGGCAAGTTGGCGAAATACCAAAATGGCGAAACCTTGCCAAAACTATAAAAAAACTATCCCTTAAACCTTATTTTAAATGTTCTGTTAAATTACGGATTTTTGTTATCTGCATACCTCCAACATCTGATCTTGCTCTTAAAACCCAAATTATTACTCAACTTATAGAACTTTTGGATGATGCTCATAATCAATTCTACCTCTAATAATTTTCCAACTTACCTGATGCTCATGATACCTGTACCTCTGATCACAACCAGTCATCTCCCAATAAATAGGCAGTTTCACTTGTGAGAATTTTAACTGGTATAATGGAATTCTATTGTTTGGTGATATAGTAAATATGCAGATTTACTTTAACATTTAATGGAAGTGTATGATGTACTATATTTTTATTTTGTTAATTATGAGTTTCAATTCAAGTAACTAAAATGATAAATGAAATGACCTTTCAACTGTTGTTAACAAAAAAAATCATCAGAATATCAATTGACTTGGGCCAGTCCAGAGAACTCATGATCATGGTCAAATATTCTGGCTGAACTTAGAAATATAATCTGGGGTATTATATTCCTAACCAATATGCTACTGCAGTTCCAATATAATTTATTTGATTGATTTTCTTATAAGATAATTATGCATTAGTAATGAGTCTGTAAACGGCAATAAAATCATGCTGATTATGAAAAGAATCATGATAAATAAGTTCATCAGCTTTCCTCTGATAATTGGAAGTTTTTTTGAGGTGGGTTGTAATAGCAAAAATTTACAGGTATATTGAGAAATATATTTACTTGAAAATTTAATGCATTTCCTTCAATTTTAATAGGTCAGTGAAAATAAAGATTACATTCAGTTAGTTTCTTTTTTATGGTTATTAATTTTCTTTTATATAAACTAATTTCACTTTAATGTAATAATAACATCTTTCTAACAATTATTTATATTCATACCAGTTTTTTCTTATAATTATTGGTCTTTCATACAAATATTACAATATTCAGTGCATTTTTTTTGTCTAAGATTATAATGGGCTTGAAAGCATAAATATGATATATCTTATTACAGCTGATTGCAAAATTGTAAGACCACCCTATGATTTTCAATTTGAAAATTTGATATTTTGAATATTTCAAGAATTAGTAAAAAAGCAAGTTTAAATACCTATTTTGGTAATAACTTTAACTCCTTAAAATTAATAAAGATTTTAAAGTAATTTATTTATATTGAATCATATGAAATTATCTGATAAAATTACTGGGTCAGTTGCTACCAATTTTCTTAAAAAGACAAGGGACTATTTGATATCAGACCCTGCTTTAGAACTGGGCATTTCTCAAATCCTAAAAGACAGGTCACGTGATAATGATGATGAACCCAATCAGAGTAAACAAGCCAAAAAGAAGAAAGATATCATTGGATATTGTTTGATAATTAATATTGCATCACAAAAAATATATGAAGAAATTATAAACTAGATTTCCCTTGTGCAAATGATACAATTAATTTCACACCATACCAAAACATTCGCACACAAAGAAAACAAACAAACGAAGGAATGTGCAATCGTACTATTCAGATTTATAACGCATCCTTAGAAATAACAACCGCTGTTCTGAAACCATTCCTGAGAAGATATGGTGAATTGGAAGAAAATGGAGTTTATGTGACTAGATGTAATCCATATCAACCAAATAAACAAATTTTTTATGCAGACGCCTTTTATGGACACCCAATATTATGGGTTTATAATGAAATGCTTTATGTTACTCTGATGGAGTTAAGTCTAGATAAAAGGGAAGAAAGAAGAGCTTTCTGTGCTAAGTTAAATGGATTACCTTCAAATGCAAATGCTAGAGAATATTAAGATTTTATTGAAGAATTTAACGTAGAATACCTAGAAACACTAAAACAAATTGTACACAGTTATACGTATATGTATATTTTAAAGATGAAGAAAGTATGCAAAGGGGAACTGATAGGGTGATAATGAGACGAAATAAACAACATGAATGGTCGACACCAGATATGAAATCATGTTTTAATTGTGGATATACAACTCATCTTATAAGTGAATGTGATTATCGAACACCAGAAATAGACCTATGAATAGAAGAGATTATTTAGATTCGGTAAGACAATATCAACCAGGATACTACCAAAGACAAATGCAAGAAAAGCAGATGCGATACGTTCAAGACCAAATGAAACAAGATATAATAATAAAGGGTCTCAAGGAAGGTATAGACAAGATAATCCATACACAACTGAAATTATAGGGACCAATCTTAGAATAGAGAAAATATACGAAGAAGAAATGATGACGTTCGTAATTATGGTGATCATGAACAAGAAATGTATGAATGGGATAAAGGAGAAGATAATTTTGAAGATGTACAAAGCTCAAATACTAGGGCTTCCATTCTCACTAGGCCTAGAAATGTACAAAATAGAAGTACTAATAGCATCCATAGAGCTAGTAAGATAATAATGAGATTCAATTAATCAAACAAGATTTGGCTACTCTACAAGATGTTGTAGCAATGTAAAGCAAAGGAAAAGAAAAAGTTAATGAGACAAACAATAATGCTATAGGATTTTTAATTGTAGGAAAAAAAGAAATGGCAATCTATAGTTTTTTTAATTCAGTTATATATAAATTACAATTGATTATTGCTACAAATTCAATAATGATAATGCTGAATAAATTTAATATGAAATATAGTATTTCTTGTAAAAAAAAAAA